ACCTCATTCACTCATCCAACCTCCACTCACTCCACACTCCGTACTTCATTTTCGGAGTCTACTCACTCTGCCAACCACTTTCTCTCTCTCGACCTCCACTCACTCCGCCAATCGCTTGCTCTTTCTCGGCCTCCACTCACTCCGCCAATCACTTTCTCTCTCTCGGCCTCCACTCACTCTGCCAATCGCTTTCCCTCTCTCGGCCTCCACTCACTCCGCCAATCGCTTTCTCTTTCTCGGCCTCCACTCACTCCACACTCCTATCTCTCTCTCGGCCTTCGCCCGTACCATCACCTTCTCTCTCTCTCCTCCCGCGATTCTCACGCAGCCAACTTCCTTCCGCCCGCCTTATTGCACACACTCACCCTACACGGCCTCCTCCGTACACCGCTACTTTCGTAAGCCGTCACCACGCACGTCACACATCCAAACATTTCAAACTCAAATCAACACATGTATTTGAAATTTGTTACCGTACCTCTCATTTCCATCTCCCTTCTTTCGGTCGATCGCGCTATCACAGTCCGCAATCTCCTCTTCTCTCTGCTCCGCTTCCTTTCTCTCTCCTTCTGGAACCTTCCGTCCTCTCCTATTTCTCTTTCCCGCTCCCCTTCTTCCTTGGTTCTTTTTTTCCTTTTTTTTTTCTTCTTTTTCTTTCTTCCTTCCTTCCTTCCCCCGCCCCCTATTTATATCACCCCAGTTTTTCCTCAAAACGGCGTCGTTTTCCCTTCTTTAAAACGGCGTCGTTTCCCTCCCCTCTCTTTTTTTTTTCTTTTTCCCCAATTATTACAAATTGGCTCTTTGTTATTTACTAAGCTCATTCAACATTATTTATTTATTTGTTATTAAAAAAAAAAGCTATGGCTAGACCACCACACGCAACTAATGATTGTTACTCAATGGATTCTCACTTCTTCAAACAAATTAAAGCTACATATAGAATATTTAAAATGCATAAATATATATTTTTTAAAAAACAATATCTTGGCTCTTAATTATAATTACTGTAATTAACAACACTAAAAACGTGTAATTATAATTAAATATTTTACAGAGTATGGATAAATTATGATTAGTTTATTTATTTATTTTATAAAAAATACAACGTACTTCCTTGAAAATATAAAGCATATAAATTACATTCACAAGTTATGTACCAAAGGAAAAGGCAGTGTTGTACGTGTTTTTAATTAATTAACTAATTTAATTAAATGGGTTTAAAGTTATAAATAAACCTAAATCAGTCATAAATGTAACATTTTCACTAACAATATATAATAATTGTTAAATATTAAATAATACGGTGAATAATTTAAATGTTTTAACATAAGATATTATTAAATTTAATTTTAGTGTATATATATATATATATAATATATATATATTTTATAAAAAAAAAAGAACCACATAGTGGTCCACAAACCTCTTTTAATCACTTTGCAGAATCAAGCAATTTATGCAGTTATAAGTAAAATATTCCTTGGACCACAGTCCGATCATATTAAAGCAGCCTTGAATTTGTCCCCAAAAATTAAATTAATGTTTAAGCATTAGATAACATTAAACTAATAACATAATTATTATATTTTAATCTTTTAATAATTTAAAGTTTACAATTCAGACAGTCTGCAAAACATCTGGTGATAAACCTGTACTTATTTAAAAGGATCAAATAATTAATAAGAGTTTGAACTTTAATCAGACAGTAATAAATTAAAATTAAGACACAAAAGACATTGATAATTGATAAGGTAAACAGATCAACTACAATGCTATTATACTCTGATATATAATATTAAATATTAATTAAGAAAACCTCTCACACTCTTCAACTTAATTAATCAAAAGTCTTCAACCCTAATAAGAACCCTAATTAAGATATTGGAAAAAATAAATATATATATATATAGGAGCCAAAAAAAAAAAAAAAAGTAATATGGGATGCCATGATAAAGCTGATAATTGCATAAGCATATGCATCTTCTTTCTTGGTTCTATCTCCCATCATCAACTGCAGCAGCACCTGAACATTTTTAGTTACAGATAATTAATAATTAATTATATTTCCAACCAAAGTAAATAGGTTATACATGATTAATCTAACAGTATAATATTTTGTACATAATTTTTTTTTTATTTGAATAAAATTATTAGTTTTAGTTATTTTATTATTATGAATTTTGGCGTAAAAAAAATAAAATTTAAGAAATATGTATAAAATGATGAAAATTAAATGTAAATTCTTACCAGAAAATTGTGAAATCCATGATTTATCAATAGGAAGTAGACTTGCTAGCAGTGTCCCTTGGCGCACTGCACCTGAAACACTCCGTCCTGCTCGCAAAGTTATGCTCATTGCAACCCGACCTGTCCAATTCAAATGTAATATTATCAACCAGTCAACATTACATATGTATACATATATATGTATATGTAAGGAAATGACGATTAGGATGACGACAGAAACCTGGAGCAAATCCAGTCGCCGGACTTCCAGCCAGAGCGGCTGGTGCTGCCAGTGCCACCAAAGCCAAAGCTTCTGATTCTCGGCATATCACCGCCGTCGAATCCACCGGGCGAATCATCTTTGGAGGCGCCGCACTTAAAGCAGCTAGAGCGGCTGGCAAAGTTGTGTGCGCCACAGTTGCCCACACCACAGTACCAGTCGCCTGGCCTCACGTCGGGCCCGGTACTGAACCCGAACGACGAGACCATCCGGCCACCGCCGAAACCGCCGTAATCCCCTCTGTGGTCACTGCCAGGTCTCGGCTCGCCGCACCGCTGGCACGAGTCCCTTCTCTGAAAGTTCATGTGCTGGCATGACCTACAGTTCCAATCACCTGGTCGGCTCATCTTCCCCTACAAATTCAGAATTTATGAATGTCAGAGTATAACATCTATAAATACACACGTATATATATGTGGGTTTGTGTAAGCTAACCTGGATAAAAGCCTAGGAGATGACTAATGGAAGTGGGTGAAAGTGGGAGAGAAGAAAGAGAGGAGTGGTGAGTTGATGTGCAAACTGCTCGTGAGTTTTTGTTTGGAGCAAGGGAGAGGGAGAGATTTATATACTTCATAAACCTCGAGAATTGGGAAATGGAACTGGTTAAGGAGCTGTGTGTATATATATATATATAAAACTTGGTTTTCTTTTTCATATTCTCTTTCCTTGAACAATGGAAAATCACTATAAACTAAATTTAACCAAAGAGATAAAGGATTTTTTGAATTTGGACTCCATAAACATAAAGAGAAGAGGTTAGAAAAAGAAAGTTTGCCAAATGCTATAAAGCTCCAACTACTCTATATGGTCTCTTTTCTTGGCTATATTAGGGGCAAATCCATGCTTATACACAATATGTACATGTACATACATATCAGGTATATATATATATATATATATATATTAGTTCAACGATTCTAATAGATTTGTATGTATTTTTTTAATAACTTTTATATTATAATTAATATTTATATATCACATAATTAATAAATATATAAAATTTTATTAATAAAACTCATACTTTTCTAACAATATCCTATAAAGATATGTATATGTATATATATGTGCTAACTTTTCTTATAAGCACACAGATAGTTAAACAATAATGCAATATCTTTATAACCTCAAAATATAACTTAAGTGTGCAGGCAATGAACTACTCTTTATAGGAAAATTAATATTAATGGCATTTATAAGGAACCCTAAAAATGTATTACATATATATATATATATAAAAGCTTTTTTCATAGGAAACGGACCATATATAAATATAAGTTGTTCCGTTGTCTATAGGGTCCATGCAAAAGTCCCTAAAAAATGAGTGCATGCAATTTTATTGTTCCTGATCTGTCGAGTCATGAGTTTTGGATAAGGAGGAACAAACTATTACCAGACAAAATGAATATTCTAAAAAATCCATATATATATATATATATATATTATAACTAGTTAGAGATATTTAAGGTCCCACGTCTAATAAATAAATATATATATATATATAGAGAGATGTTATAAGAATTATAATTACCAAGGATGTGTCATGTCTCCTTTCAATAATATACACACTTTGATTGATGAGAACCCACCTCCCTCTCTTAATGGTCACTGTATATGAAAAAATTGGGATTGCTTTTCAATTTTGAATATCCCCTTTGTTTATCTTTTACTTTCTGTTTTTCTTTTTTAAAATTTCTCTTTATAATTTTATTTTAGATATTATACATCATATATATATAATCATGTATGTATCTACATGTATATCCATTAATTAGAATATACATATGTGTGTGTGTCTATACAATCTAACTAATGAACATTTATTTTATATATATATAGCTTAAAGGAAAAAGAAAATGAGATGAAAGAAACGAAAACGGTACACTGTATGATTTTCGATAAAGATATACATATATGTATATATATATATAATCTAACCAGTGATCATATTAAATATATATATATATATATGAGTTAAAAGAAAAATTAAATGGTTTTTTTTTTTTAAAAAAAAAAAGAGATGAAAGAAACGAAAACGGTACACTGGATGATTTTCGATAAAGATAGTCGAAACTGATGATGGAAGAGAAGTCTTCGAGGTTTCAAATTTTGACCATCTTTTCTTTTTTTTTTTTTTTGGCTTCACTGCTATGGCTTTTTCACTGTCATTTTCCCCCCCTTACAATCCTCTCTCTCTCTCTCTCTCTCTCTCTCTCTCTCTATACACACATATATATATATCTATTTAAAATTAAAATTAAAGAGAGATTAAACTTAAAAAGGCAGAAAATTAAAAAATAAATAAATAAAACCAGAATATGATCATCTCCCACCATTTTCTTGGGTAATGGTAAAGAGAAGGCTGTAGCAAACTGTGAAAAAAGCAAAAAGAAAGGGAGGAGGAGGACTGATTCGATTCTCTCTTTGGGAAATGCTTCCATGCATTATCATACTCATCTTTTACGCACCTAACGTATCCATACATACATATACACACACACACACACACACACACACATATATATTTCTTAAATTAATTGATTACCCTACTATACTTTAATAATATATGTTGGCTCTCCTTTTAAATCTATCTGAACTTTACAATCTCTAATTAATTATGTTGCATATACATAGAATACTAAATTACTCATGCATGCATCCATGCATGTATACATGTCAATTGTATATGCTTTCAACTACATGTACATTTTATTCTTCCTTACTAATTTACTTTTACCTGTATATACTTATCACATGAAAAGTGCAAGACACTACCGAGAGGAAGTTTTCAGTCACTAAAATTTTTAAAGAGAACTTCTACTCAAACAATATATATATATATATATGTATATATGGAATAAATTCTTCTCTCTAAGTATGTTAGACATTTTCGGTAATTATACTTCATTCTATTCGAATTTCAATAGATTTAGAATATACATTATATAGATAACATCTAATCTTAATTAACACATATTATTAGTGTGCTAATTATTTGTTAATTTTGTAAAATAAATTATATAGCTAATTCATCTAATTTTACATTTTTTTAATATATTTATATTTTTTTATAATTTTGATGTATGTACTCATAAATTATACACCGTGCAAAAAAAAAAAGTGACAATTTTCTACATTTATATGATTCAATGTTCAATGTTCAATATTCAATAAAAAATATTTGATTAATGAGAAACTAAAAAAAAATGAAAAATTTTAAATTAATGAATAATAATTTTTTTAAAATAAATATATATATATATTATATAGAAAAGATGATTACGTATAGGATTGGGGGGAGGG